GTGGAGGCCTTGGTAGCTGTGGACAATTAGTCCTTCAGACTAATCTTTTCCTTGTATCCTGTTCTTCTCATTCTCTCAGGGAATACTTTTGGTTGAAGGTTTAAAGATTATCTCAGGGCAATATTTTCAGGGGTTCATCCATCCACCTTGGCTCCAAAAAGTCTGGAGTCCATGAGAATTGAAATTCTGTTCTGCATTTTAACTCTCTCTCTCTTTTTTTTTTTTAATAATAATTAACATTTATTAAGTATTTGCTATGGACCAGATCCTGTTTCCAAGCACTTTCTTTACATGCATTATTTCTTTTTTTTTAAAATTGAGATGTAATTCACATAACAAAATTAATCATTTTAAGGTATACAATTCAGTGGCATTTGGTACATTCACAATGTTGTGCAAACACCACCTCTCTCTAGTTTCAAAGCATCTTCATCACTCCAAGAGAAAACCTGATAGCCATTAAGCAGCCGCTACCTATTCCTCCAACTCCCCAGCCCCTGGCAACCACCAATCTGCACTCTATCTCTAAGGATTTACATATTTTGAATATTTTATATAAATGGAAGCTTATAATATGTGACCTTTTGTGTCTGACTTCTTTCACTTAACATAGTATTTTCGAGGTTCATTCACTTCGTAGCATGTATCAGTACTTCATTCCTTTTAATGGTTGAATAATATTCCATTATATGTATATATCACAATATATTTATCCTTTTATCAGTTGATAGACATTTGGGTTTCTACCTTTTGGTTGTTGTGAATAGTGCTGCTATTAACATTCATATACATGTATTTGTTTGAGTACCTGTTTTCAACTCTTTGGGGTATATACCTAGGAGTAGAATTGCTGGGTCTTATAGGGTTGCTGTGAGTCAGAATTGACTCTATGGCAACGGGTTTGGTTTTTTTTATGGTGAGCCCTGGTAGTGCAGTGATTAAGAGCTCTACTGCGAACCAAAAAGTCAGCAGTTCGAATCCACCCATCGCTCCTTGGAAACCCAATGGGGCAGTTCTGCTCTGTCCTATAAGGTCACTATAAGTCGGAATCACTTAACAGCACACAACGACAAAAATAAAGTGTTGAAGAGCAAAGATGTCACTTTGAAGACTAAGTGCAATGTGTTTTTTTTTTAATTTATGGTAAGTCTATGTTTAACTTTTTGAGGAACTGCCAAAGTATTTCACAATGTATTCTTTTGTCTCCTTTAATCCTTCCCGTTCAGGACTATAAGAAGCCTGTGGCTTATCAACCTTACTGATACGCAAAAGATAGTTTCTAGGACATTTAGCATTTCTGAATCAACTTCATTTCTTTCAAACAAGTGTGTGTGGGGTGTGTGTTTTTTAAATTTATTATCTTACAAGGCAAATATGGTGTAGTGGAGTTTGAACGCTTGGATTTTAGTCTTCCTTCTCTTATTTACCAGTGTTGTGACCATGAGGAAGACGCTTAACCACTCCAGGCCTCAGTTCCTCATTTATGAAATAGGATAATAATAATAAAATACATCCTCAATACGATTGTTGTGAACATGATACGGGATTAAAAGCAATTTATAATACTTCATGTACTTTATTATTATTAATAAAAACTAATATAAGTAGTAACTCAACATACAGTAAATATTTATTGTGAGACTAATACATGCCAGGCATTGTACTCTAGGGCTAAGAACAGAACCATGATTAAGACAGACAAGATTCCCAATTTTCATGGAGCTTGTATTTATAGGAGCCCTGGTGGCACAGTGGTTAAGAGCTCAGGCTGCTAACTAAAAGGTCAACAGTTCAAATCCACCATCCACTCCTTGGAAACCCTATGGCGCAGTTCTACTCTGTCCTATAGGGTCGCTATGAGTTGGAATCAACTCGATGGCAATGGGTTTTGTATTTATATTCTTTTTAGTCAAAAAGACGACATAAGCAAGTAAACCAATAAATGAACAGGATAATGACAGATTGTCAAAAATGCTATGAATGACAAGGTGATATAAAAAAGGACCTAGAAGTGTAGAGGAGGGTACTACTATTCACTTTAACTTGAGTAACCTGGAGAAATGGTGACACTAGAATGAATTTGAAAAGGGTGAATTCAGAGAGAATAAGATGTATTCTGTTTTGGACGTTTGATTTAGAGCTGGGGACAGGAAATTTAAATGGAATTACTTCATGAGGAGTTGGAGCCATCAGGATTGAAAATGTACATTTCAGGCCCATCTACATAGAGGAGAAAATGAAGGCTAATGACTGTAAGTTTAAAAGCAGAGAGAAAGAAGTTGTAGAGAAAGAGTGATAGCCACTGATGAGACTGATAATGAAGTGGATACATACAGGGATAACATCATTCAAGAGTTATAAAGGAAGGATCTATGATACTTTTATATGTTTATTTGCTTCATACATTTTTAATTTCACAAATTATACTTGAATATATTCGCTTTCTGAAACCTTGGTGGTGTAGTGGTTAAGTGCTATGGCTACTAACCAAAAGGTTGGCAGTTCAGATCCACCAGGCGCTCCTTGGAAACTCTATGGGGCAGTTCTACTCTGTCCTGTAGGGTTGCTGTGAGTCTGAACCAACTCGAGGGCAACAGGTTTGATTTGATTTTTTTAATATTCTCTTTAGGAGCCCTGGTGGTGCAATGGTTAAGTGCTTGGCTGCTAACCAAAAGGTCTACAGTTTGAACCCACCAGCAACTCTGAGGGAGAAAAGACCTGGCAATCTGCTTCCATAAAGATTACAGCCTAGGGAACCCTATGGGGCAGTTCTACTCTGTCCTATAGGGTTACTGTGAGTTGGAATCAACTACGGCACACAACAACAACATATTCTCTTTGTAAAAAATTAAAACATAAAAACTAAGACTAACTAATCCTATCTGACCACCAGTCCCAAACCTGACTGAAGGGTGACTGAGATTATCTGAGATTAGAGGGAAAAATTAAGAACATGAGAGTCAATGGAGCATAAATCAAAAAGAAACCAAACCCACTGCCGTTGAGTCAATTCTGGGTCATGGTGATCCCATGTGTTACAGAGTGGAACTGCTCCATAGGGTTTTCTTAGCTGAAATCTTTATGGAAGCAGATCACCAGGCCTTTCTTCTGTGGCACCACTGAGTGGGTTAGAACTGCCAACCTTTCAGTTCATAGTCGAGCAGTTAACCACTGCACCACCAGGGCTCCTTAAGTATAGCACAGTGAGAATAATCTTTCTTTGCATATTGAAGATCTTTCACAGTCTCAGAAACATTCTGAATTTTATAATGGAGTTAGTATATTTGTTGTTGTGGCCTTCAAGTCAATTTTGACTCACAGCAGACCCTGTATGAGAGTAGAACTGCCCCATAGGGTTTCCTAGGCTGTAATCTTTATGGGAGCAGATCGCCAGGTCTTTTCTCCCATGGAGCAGCCGGTAGGTTTGAACTGCTGACCTTCAGTTAGCAGCCGAGTGCTTAACCATTGTGCCACAAGAGCTCCATGTAGATAGGAGAGTGGATTTAAAGTAGATTGACCCTAGGAAATACTCTGAAAGTTTTGTTTTGTTTCATTCTTGTGAATGTGGAAAAATGGCATAGGGCT